TGAAGTAAACATTTCGAAAACCTTGGGCCATTGTTTCTGTACGGTACATAATTCCTCGTGTCCTTTAGTGCGTATTATGTTCTCTCTTCTCCTAACAAGCTTGCAGAAAAAGAAATTTCAAGTCATGGTTCTCCTATGAGGTAGCTATGAACATTGCTATGTTTGAATTGAAGAATCAGAAGGAAGATGTTTTCACTCCGAGGACATGTAAAGTAGACAACTGGTGAAATATTATATATTGGAAATAACACGACTATGATAAATTTTCTTACCAATCATTTTGGAACAAAGAAAAGTAAAATTGATGTGTAACTGCTTTTGATCATAGGTTCTTTTGTTTTGACATACTTATAATAGGGTAAATTGTGGCTAGACCCCTTGTAATTGTATTACTTGAGCCAAGGGGTCTATCTGCACTTTGGGCAAATAATACTAGGTCCAGCGGCGCCAATAAAACTACAGGGGGCCTATCTGTAATTGGGCAATAATACAAGTGATTTATCCGCTATCATGAAGTTTTGGATGTCAATGAGTTATCAGATTCCGTCATATGCGGCTACAGGGAAGGAGTTTCTTCTGTAAACATGGAAATACAAACCCATTTTTACCATTTAGTTGCTTATGATTGGAGTGAACAATTTACTTGCATGTCGCCTAGATGTATCCTAAACAAGCAATCTCTCATATGTATGTAATATGTACTTCGCAATTTAAGAGCTAATTTCAAAAAAGCGCTACTTAGTATAGTAAGTGCTAATAAGAGACTTAATTAAGGATGGTGAGTACCACTAAAGGGTTTAAAAAAAAAAGAAAAAGAAAAAGAGAAGGAAAAGGAAAACCTCTACTTGATTGCTTGCAGGCGATGGGATCATGTCCGAAGGAGAATATTAAGGATTTCAAGGATAGATTGGTTGAAGAGAACCTCTACTTGATTACCGAGGTGAGCCAAATACAAAAACAGACACGGATACATCCAATCCTAAATGCAGGATTTGGCTGTCTGTGCAGGAAGAACAGTCTTTTGTTCTAATATTTTGACGAGGGTAAATTACACTAAACCCCCAGAACTTTCAGCATTTTGTAGTTAACCCCCGATAATTAATTTCTAAACTCACAATTAAACTCCCAATAATAATTGGAACTGAAGAAAACTCCAATAAGTTTTTACATTTTGCAGACAATCCCCATGACAGCATATGTCCATATTTCGGGAAGTTATCTGCGGAACACATAAACTTGTTCGGCGTTTTCTGCGGTTCTAATAATTATTGCGGGTTTAGTGCGATCTTAGAAGTTATTGGGAATCACCGCACAGAGCTGAAAGTTTCGGGAAGATCAGGTGAAATTGATCGCAAAATCCTCTCGCTTGTAGATGCAGCGGGTTATGAGAGATACACAAGACTATAGCTGATTGAAATTTACTCTATGCACTTCTAAATCTCGAAGTCTGCTTAATTTGATCAAGGAGATTCCTCAGTGCATTGATTTCGTCCGTGTTACTTAACGATAAAGACACTACATGAACGAAGACCGAGAGTTTCATTTGAACAATTCAGCTCAAGAGTGGTCGTTTACCACAGATTTCAAGTGGGGGACAAATTTTCAAACCCTAACCTGTTTGTCAAAAAATTCTCAAAAAAAACCCGTTTCAAACTTAATTTCAAAAACCGACCTAGTTAAACAGAAACTGGGTCGGTTTTTGAAAAAAAAAATTCCCAAACTTCATGGGAGTTGAAGTCCCGTGAAGTTTGGGAACTTTTTTTTTAAAAACAGATCCAGTGTCAGCCAACTGGGTCTGCTTTTGAAATTAAGTTTGAAATGAGTGTGTTTTTAGGAATAAAATTCAAAATAGGTTGGTTCTGAAAATTTGTCCTTCAAATGGGCATCAATTTTTCATATTGAATCATTTTTTTTTTCTGTTTTAATATTATATATGCTTTTACAAGGATTAAAGAAGATATTAGTCGTTCTTGAGCTCTCTGACCCGTAGGCACGACTGTAACCATCAACATGATTATATTGTGAAACACATCCTTCCAATATTGCCACAAATTGCTCATCCTCTTACCGAGAGCCATCATTTTTGAACTCCATACCTGAAGTTAGTTGTTGTTGTTGTTATGATTATTAGAAATACTTTGCACTTTGCTTTGTTCGGTCCATTTTAATGAAACGCAAGATTGGCACCTTTAATCCTTTCTCCGCTGCTAATAATGGTAAATGAAGCATATCAGGATGTAGTTCCGCGTATTTTTCTGAATGCTTCTTTGGTTCTCTATATTAGTTCATGAGACTGTAAAGGAGTAGCAAACAACATCATGCTTACTGGGCTTTGATTAAGGTCAAATCCCTCAAGTAACAAGTTTACAGTAAATTATCCCAATTCTTCCGTTCGTTGTTTTTTTACTGTACCCTTTTTTAATTGTCTTGCCTTCTAAAAAAGAAAAATAAATAAATAATCAAGTTATAGTTACGTATCGACAAAACCATTTCAGTTCATGGCAGAGCAAGGAACTGGGCATCTAGCTAGTGACAGCCTCGATTGTGAAAGAAGCGAGCGACTGGTTAATTTGACGAGTTGCTCAAGTGACGATACTTCTATCGACCATGAATCCTACCGCAGTTTTCATATTGTTTTATTTCTTCCTAGTTTTTATCTGTTTTTTAGTTTAATGTTCAGATCTCCAGAAGAACAGTCTTTGTATTCTCTTACTTTGAAACAAAGTCTTTAAAGCTCATTTACACTTTTTAAACGAAGTTTTTAAAGCTCATTTACACTTTTTATTCATTCGAGTCTCCACTTGTGGGTTATGTTTGGTTTCTTATGCAAACAGCAAACTGAAGGAGGTTATAGTTGTTTCACACATAGATGAAAATATGCATATCATAATGTTTGTGTCTTATGTAGATTACAACGAGCTAAAATTTTGAATGCGAGATGAGACATTCTAATTATTCTATAGAGATGTAGTCAAATACATTGAGTAGTCAAATACATTGAGATAAATTATCTATACTATTAAAAGACGGTCGTATTTTTTAAAAAAAGTTTCAATATTTATTTATTTTTTATCACGCCTTTGATGCAGATGGAATTGACGTCGGGCGCCCCACGAAAGAGCGACACGGCTTTGCCATGTAACCTACTAGACACCCTCCAAGTTTTAATATGTATTAGAATAAAGCAAGCATACTCAAAATATTAAAAAGGTAAAAATTCAGACATTTTAATTATTCCGTAGAGATGTTGTTTATTTATTTAAACTAAAAAAAAATAGTCTAACATATTTCTCCTCAATTAGAACTAAATTATAATTATTGTAGGACAAAACCTCGGGCCGTCTTCGCTCGTCGCAGCGGACGTCAGTACTCGAAAAATGGCAGCTTCCTCTCTTCTCTCTCTTTAGCTCTCAGCCCCTCCACAAAGAAACCCCTCGATCCCCTCAACGATTTCCCCTTCAGTTCCTAATCCACGGAGGCGCATTTCCTTCATCTCCAGGTTCAACTCTCTCTTTTTTTTAACTTTTTTTTTTGGGTATTTTTGAAAAAAATGGTTTTTTGTGCTCTAGATTACCGCTTGATTGGGGATGTTTACTTACGATGCTGCCATTGCACACCGCGATTGCTTCTGCTCGTCTCACATCGGTGTTGTCTGCGGAGTCTCAGAGCTGGGGGGTGGATTCCTCAAGGTTTCATCCTTCTTCTTTAGTTTCTTTCTCGATGGCTTCGTTTCTTTGGTTATAGTTGATTTCTGGGTCCAAGTCGCTGTTATTCCTCCAAAGATTTTATCTTTTTGGAAAACTAAGCCATAAATAAATAAATAAAATAAAATAAAATGGGGTTTAGATCAAAATGCAGTATGCTTCTAATGGTGTAATTCTGTAAGTGAGGGGTACATGATTCTTGATGGTGTTAACTTATGAGAAGAAGATAATCCAGGTTGTTATTGTGGAATAGATATGCTAGTAAGCTGAAAGGTATAGACTTGCATTACATTTAGCTTGAGAAATAGTACCATTGTGAAGTTGTGATTCTATTGAGATTCTGTGTACAGTCAAGTTTGGTGAATCTGAGTCTGAGAAAGATTGCTCATTGATACCATTAGCCCATTCTACCTATTGTCTCAAACAGTATGTGTTTGCTTGATTTGGTATTTCCAGTAGTCCCTCTATGAGAGGGGCCTTTTTTTTTCCCGGGGTTCTCTTTTGTTATTTGTTGTTCCCTTACTGAGCTTACTCCCTCCAAAAACTATTCAGAAACAAATCTGCTTTCAAAACTTTGCTTTCTTAATTTATATATAGCTATGTTTATTGTATCAACTTCGGTCCACTTATTAGGCTGAAAACATGTATCCATCCCTAGCAGTTCTAGAGATCCAATTACTCTTGAAAATATTGATAATTTTTCTATCCTATCAATAGTTCAAGCGCTGAAAACAAATAAGCCCTAAAAAGCCCATTAGTGGACCCTCTACTCAAATACAATCTAAGTCTTTCATGTTCTATATTTTCAAGTTACTTAGCCATAGAAATTGAGGCAATCACTTGCAATCTATGTTGCATGGTACGGGTACGGGTACCGGTATTGGTATTGATACAGGTATGGGTACAACAAATTTTTAAGAGGTAGGGTGTGTGGACACGGCTATATAAATATTTGTATACACAAATTATATATTGAAACTAATAGTTTACATGAGATCAATATTTTCTTTCACGTGTTATTGAGATTTAAAATCCCGATAACGTTTTTATGTTTCTTTCAGTATGTGGATTATAAATTGTAAAAAATGTTTGTTTTTTGAACTAGACACTCAAACAACCATTAAAATCATAGTTTGGAACCCAACGAGTTTCAAGAAGTGCAAGTGAAGTGTAGTATTTACGTCTAGAAATTGTTTAACTAACATTCTAAACTACAACATGTATTTTGTTTAATTGCGTACATGCCTGAATACATGTATGCATATATGCAATCCAAGGAGTTTGGGTGTGGGTACAGGTATAGGTACATGGCTTAAAGGTAGTTGTACCCAGGTAACATAGCATGTAATATAGCCAAGCCCATGCGGTCCATCCTCAATTTCATTGGAATTTGTATTATTAGGTTCGTCATAAGACTCCACGATGAAAATATTTGGATTGTTGCCATGACTTGGATATCTCACTTATCATCAAAAATTGGGGAGAAATCTAGAGAGAAGAAATGTTTACAATAATTAAGGGCGTACTGGACCTTGTTAGAGATGGGTTTATTAGTGAAAGTTTTTCTTGTATGTTTAATTTTGGCATTTAGATGGCATCTTGTAACAAAAAGAATCAATATGATCTTTCTCAAAGTTTGTAGTACTTTATGATCATTTTGGATTTTAAGCTATAGAAGGTCGTGACCATATTCCTTGAATTTTGTAAGTTGGGCTATTATTTATTTACCTTGCACTGCTATTTAGTTTCTAAATCTCATTCTAGACATGAAAGCACACTTATGATCTGATATTTCTTCCCTATCCATCCATTTTTTTAAGATTGGTTACACAAGCCCCTTCGCTGTTCTTCTTTCCCCTTGCTTCCTATCATGATGAGATTTGATTTCACCTTTGACCATTATCCAAAATTTGAATACAATTAGTTAATTTTCTCTTTAAATTGAAAACTGCAACTTTTCTTTACGATGGCTGTTTAGAAGAATTTGCCATGCATATTTCACCTCTTGGAAGACCTAGTTGTGATTCCTTTTGTTCTTGCTGTTGCTTCATCTTTCGGCATCAATCATTATCCATTTCCATATGTCCAATGTGCATTGGTCACTGTACTTTTTCATCTAGGATTGATTCAACCTTTTAGCTATAACTTGATTTAGACCACTTTTGTGTATGTATTTCTAGTTTGGAGCAAGCAAAGAAAGCAAATATATGTCGTCACTAATGAATTTCTTGTAGCATTTTCATTATTTTTTTTTCTTCTGAAAATAAATGTTCTATATTGTGAGGGAAAGTACACTCCACCTTACTTCACAACCTTGCTCTAGTCATGTTTCAGATTTCATATATTAAGCCGTACCTTGTCTATGCTATGAAAGGATTCACATTTTATTAGTTAGTACATGGTTTGGTTGTGTAAGATCACAATAGCCTTGAAAATATGTCTGTCCAAGTTAAACTGTGGTTAGTTAAGGCAGCTTGGTCTTTGTGCAACACCAACCAAACAGTAACTAAAAGATTCAATATTCATAAACTTCTCCATTTATCTAGGCATGTATGCACATTAGGCTTGGGGCTTACTTATGAGCAAGTAAGTATGTCTATATTATTTCTGTAAGCATACGCGCAGTTAAATAATCAGGAGACATGCTCGACAACTTATCTATATTCTTTCTGAAGGTTGATCAAATTCATGAAAAAATATATAGATTGGTATGGTCTTACTTTAGCTATTGGATTCTTGCCAAGATTAAAGAGCGCGGTTCAGTTTGAGTTATAAATTTATAGTATGCAGTTAGTATATACCTGGTGTATAAATAGGTTATTAGACTGTTTTAGCTTTGTAATCATAAGACTCGAATATTTTTGTCCCTTGCGCAACAATTCGGTATTTATGCGCTAAACAATTAGACTCTCTTGCAGGTCTTGCATTGCCTTTATGACATCACCTTCTGTTGTCTGATCAATAATAGATGCAAGACCAGAACATGCTTGTTTACTTCTGAGATTAGTAGCAACTTTCTTTATAGTACTACAGAATGGAAGTCTACTACATGTCGATGTATTGATTTTGTTTATTTTTATTTTCATTTTCATTATGAAAGTTCTGCATTCCTGGGTTCAGTGCATGAGAACAACATGCTCGTTGGAGCTTTAGCGTACTTGTACTGAACCAAGAAAATTGCAATGAATTTTACAGGCTCTGCTTTTTTGAGCGAGCAATTGAATCTGTGGAGTTGGCGCTTTTAAGTTACCGATATATAAATGGAGAGCGCGTGTGCATTGCTAAATTGGTTCTCAGTCGGGTATCCCCTCATCTGCACTTGCTTGGTAGCTCTTGGAAATCTTTCTTCGCTGTGCTCAATCTTCATACTTTGGACAACCAGCAGAATGATCAACCCAATATCTTACTTACAACAGCAACGCACGCTGAAGAAGCTGCTAAAGTGACGAGACCTATGATCAACTATGCACTTCAATTTCCCAGGACAGCTGCAATATACGTACACGATTCAAGAAATCTGAATGAACAAACCCAGCTTATGAGCTACAATTTTACATCCTCCAAGTGAGGCAGGATCGTTAGATTATGTATAATAGGATTATTTATGATTCAAGAACAGAAATCGGCATGAATGCGGGATCTCATCCAAGTAAAATACATATATGCAGACATATTTTCCCTACCAACAAAGAAGAAAAGAAGAGCCAAAACTACACAAAGCAATGAAGAAACTACAATGACACCTATTTTCTCACAAAAAAACAAGAAAGAACAACGCACATCTTCCAGTTTAATATAGTACAGTTCAACAGCTCACAGATTCGCAGTGGAGCTATTCATGATCCAGCACAATATAGATGATCCAAACCAACTGCAAATGAATTAAAATTTACACCCTTCTACCTGACTACTACTACTTTCTTGTATGCTTGGGGACGTCACTGACCAATTACATCTGAGATTGAAGTCCTTATTTTTTGCGACAACTCTTCCCTGGAAAAGATAAGCATACAAAGTTAACAAAGAGGCCGATATAAGTTTTCCATTTAATTACTTGATGGTATAAAGTCTATGGATAGAATGCGATGTCGAATTGCTTATATGAATCGCAACATGATCAATATTCAATCAAGAGGGAGCAAATTGACTAGTGAAGCATGTGGCAGCTACTCACAAAATAAAACTCACGCAAAGCCTTTGAATGAATAAAACTCACGCAAAGCCTTTGAATGAATAGTTTGATTAATAGTTAAACACTAGCAAGCCTTACCTGTCTGGTTTAAATAGGAGGTATCGATATATGAACCACTGTAAAAAAAACAGAACAATAACAATTAGAAAACAAGAAAACCCGCTCTAAATTGGTCCTTTTAAAATTTAATAAAAAAGTAAATGCTTACCCAGGAAAATAATATCCCGATCAACTCTAATGTACTAGGGATTATAGGAAGCTTGTCAATTGCCTGCGAAGTTTAGCCTTTCCATGTGAAAACGCGGAAGATATAGTAAAATGGCAAAATGTCATAAGCTCATTTTCACTGGAATTTAAATGTTAATGCATCCCTCATAAAACCTCAGCAAGAACAAAGAAGATTTCAAATCTATTACCGCGATAAGATTAGCTGATGCCCAAACTGCCGCTATGGCTGCAAATCCTAAACCGGCAAGAGCTATTCGATCTTCAGAATTGTTCCACTGCTTCAAAAAATTGAAAGAAAAGAAAGAGGTGCTGGTTAAGTTCACAAATACTATATGAATGGATGATGCAGGCATCTAAACTGTAGCTGGAAAAAAGTAGAAAATAAATTTTAAGCATAGAAGACAAAAGAAGCATCACTTTGTCTAAATCTCTCCTAAAAATGAAGTATCTCATTCCTTACTTCCCCAATCTCACGGTCCTAGTTATTTTGTACGCTCAAATTCTAGAGGACCGGTTCAGCTGCAAGCATGCTTCAAACATGCACAATTCTTCTGTTCTTGCATATTTTTTTAGGTGAGATGATTGACTGCAGAGACTTAGATAAAAATTGTATGTCAGGTTTATTTGCATTTTAATATTTTCACACTTTTAGCTAACATTAAATTAACATCATAACATGTTGACGCAGTTACATCAGTTGAGAGCAGCAAAAAAAGGAACTCACAGCACTTTGAACATATTTGACTATGCTTCCAGAGGAAGAATCAGAACTATCACCAACAGCCTTTGTGACAACTGCGACAAATCTCTGCTTTCCTGCACATTGAGAAAGACTTAAGAAAACTGCAAACCGGTTGGATCTGGATCAGATAATCTATACCTGCAATCTCCAAATTCAAGAATTTGGCCAAACCTAAGATGGGTTATGAGACCTTAATGCTTGGTACATATATATCATAATAACTTTTGTGATTGATAGTAGAACAATCTTTTATAAGTGGCACCATCAGCATAGAACATCTTGAAATATGAAGAGAAGGAAACTATTATATTGGACGAGTACCATTCTACTGCAGTCCCAATTTTACTATATTTTTTACTCAATTTTGATGCTGGGTAAATCAACATTCTATGTGTCCTTTGTTTGGATAAATGGTTAATATAATATCTTGGAGATGTGTGCAATTTGTGTTACGAGAAAAAAGAACCTCTATAGCAAACATTTCATCTTTGTCCCTTCATCTAGGAATTTTCTTGGTGTAGGAAAATTTTGGAGATTTTCTGCTTTGCTGCACGAGCTTCAGTGTTTAAATGACGTATCTTTATGGTTGGTTTCCCTAGAGCCAACGGGACGAGAAGGTTCTTTGCAAGCTCCTCCCTTTTCTCTAGTCTCTTTACCGAGGAATTTAGCATCATAACCCAAAGAGGATAATAAACAGTTGGAAAGTTTTCATATAGGTTACGTGATCACACTGTGATGGAAAAAAGTAAAACATTATGATGATCGTGGGCTTTGAGGATTTTAATTTTAATTTGAGCTCCAGAGTTTAAATGTCAAACCCGGTTTAAAAATATTCGTATCGATGGAATTACTTCAAGTAGAAGATTTAAATGTAGAAAAAAAAAGAAAAGAATTTACAGCTCCATTGGGAGCTATGAGTTTGATGGAAGTAAACCTAACTTCCAGCTAAACAATCTTTTTGGTGGAATATGTACACTGGATGTTACATAAGAATAATTCAGGTATATCTAAAGATCTCTGTAAAAAGAGAGTGACTGAAGGCATATCAAGGGGAGGGTGACAAAAGGTAAATAACAGCAAGGGAGAAAAAAGTTTTTACTGCACAAAAGATTATGTTTATGCAAATGCAAAAAATGTAGTGAGTCATCACAATGTTTCTCTGCATTTAGCCTAGTCTCTAAATTAAGCACCCATACTCAAAAAAATACTAGATAGAACTATCAAGTTACAACAGCAAACCATCAGTGCAAGCGAAAATTCTCAAACAAATAGTCTTCATATTGTACTCAACTCCCTCAAATTCCAAATTTGCTGACTCCCCCAAAAGAAATGAGGGGAAATATTGCATTCAGTTAGCTGATTCTTATATATCACTCTACCCAAATGTAGACAGTAAGTCATGCGCTCAGACTTTCTACGAAATTTGACCGTAACTACATTCACAAGAAAATGATATGTAATTTCTTTCTAGATGCAAACAGTCATCATTCTAAAAACTTTAAAAGCATGATAACAGTTTGCAGTAACCCAAAGGGGGGGAATAGTTAGCGTATCCCATCACCTGCAACTGATGAAACTGGAATCTTTCGCAGATTCCTGTAATGGGTTTTGTTCCCATGGACGATCAAAGAGGGTAGAGAGATTGCCGAGGCGAAAGCCATTCTTCTAATCTCACAAAAAATGGAACAACCATCGAAAGAAAACAAAAGGAAATGTCAAAAGAAACCCATGAAGAGATTAGATTTTAAAAAAAAATGAATACTGGAAATTAAAAGGCACCTCTTGGTTCGGTTTGCTTCAAGAGAAGGAGGATTGGGGGAGCGAAGCTGCTGTCTCCGATATCTTTGATGGATTCTGGGAATACTCGGAGCCAATCAGTGGATGAAACTGACCAAGAGTTAAGTGGAAAAGACTAAAAAGCCCTCTCATTTATTATACACGAGTGGGGTCGCCTTGAGATAATTTTAGAGGTCAGTAGCCACCTCTTTGTCCTTTAGTTGGGGTTAATTGCAGATAGACCCTTTGTATTGCGGATTGGGATCCTCTCATAAGGAATAGTGTTTCCTAAGATCTCCTAATGCATCTCAACCATTCATTGCATAGGACCTCCTTGTTTTTTGTGCTCATACACAAAATCAAAGGTTAAGATGCATTAGGAGATCTTAGGAAACACTATTCCTTAGGAGAGGATCACAATCCTTGCATTGCCCAATTAGCGATAGACTCCTCGCTGTTCTATTGGTGCGGATCAACTTCTTGTACTATTTGCCAACTACAAATAGATTATCTTAGCGAACTTTTTTATTACTATTTAAAAAAATAGTAACCGGAGGTCTATCTGCACCAATAGAATTACATGGAGTTTATCCGCCTCTATAATTTTTTTCTTTCTCTTAAAAAAAGATCACCCAAAGGGTCTATATGCACAATTAGAACTACATTTATTAATCTGGGTTGCAATCAGTGAAACCAGGCTTCCGGGTAAGATAACGTGTAAAATGTTACATTTATTAACTTTGCTTGCTGATGTTCTTTGAAAAAAACAAATAATAATAAGTACATATCAAAATAAATGGTTTGGAAGGCAACACCGATACTGACAAGGACTAGAGATTATGATTACGTGTAAATATGTAACATTTATTATCTTTGCTTGCTGATTTCCTTTAAAAAATAGTAAGCACATATCAAAATAAACGGTTTGGATCATCAAGTTGAATCTTCATAATTTGCATACCAAAGTCAAAATTACAAGTGAAAAAAAAAATTATACATATGTATAAAAAATAAAACAATAATAAATACAATAATTGAATCAATTAATTAAAAAACCAACTAAACAACAAGCCGCTCATTCTACAAGTTCCCGTCACTACTGGCGGTAGTTTTACTTTGTTTTGATTTCGCCATACTAACAAGATCCCCAAACAACTTATCTTCAGGCTTGGCCAGCTTATTGAACTGTTGCACATGAGGGGCTGATATTTGGTAAGTACTCCCTGTATTTGTGTAATAGCTGCTGTTATCTTGCACATAGAGCTTATACATTCTCTGAGAAATGTCGCTTTGACTCAAATAAGTTGGATATATCCCTGGTTGCTGGTTGCTTTGCACCAATTCAGGGTGAGGGGATCCAAGATGCATATTCTGCAGTAGCTGAGGATGCATAGCTCCTGCCTGAAGTCCATTCTGCATTGTTTGAGTTTCGGGGTTGCCACAGTCACTACTCTCGGCTTGTTGAGCTTCCCATGGTGGTAGTGGAAGACCTTGATCATTTACACCTGTTAAAGACATTCATTGTGCTAGTGGAATTAGCGGGTAACTTCAGCACGCATGAATCATTCTCATGTATATGTTGCAGGAGTCCATGCATGAAGAAAGTAAGAATTATCCACCCCATGACTTGATTTTGGATGGGTTTCCATTGAATGGCTATATACGATATGAAAAATGTTAAAAGAGTATAAAAGTTATAACCTCAACCTTTCACCACAACCTAGGTTCAAAGTTTAAGATGGTATCACAACAACCTACTAGGTTTGAATCTTAATGGTCACAAATTTTTATAGCGAATTTAAAAAAGATACCACTACCTAGGCTAGGTTTCAGCCCATGAAAGTGCTCCCAATCTCTACGGGCATTTTAGAGTATACAAATTATAACCCTCAACTTTCACCACAACTTCGGAGTTTTGATGTAGTGACGGGGACTTAAGCAAAACTAAGCACAATAACCATTCTTCTTCTAGGACAAAGTTACAGAAACATGAACAAGGACATGAAATAACATGACAAGCCGTCATCAAGAATTCCTAAATTAATACATACGAAGAAAGAAGTGCCCTGTGCAATATCTGTGTGACATGTATCCCAACAAAAGATGGCTTCACATTTCACAATAAGTATTCGTGTGACATGGCTTTTCATCTTATCAACGATCCATTGAACCTGAATCTACATTTGGAGTTTGGACCTGTACTTTGCTTCAGTCTGGGTTGGAATGTAACCTAATGCGACTCGAACAACAAGGCTACAGTATTAAAGAGTAACTCACGATTTAGATAAATGACAGAAGAAAACAGAGACGAAACAACACTTGCACAAAAACTTTACTGTTGTTTTTTTTAAAAATTGTGTAATATAGTGCTTCTGTCTGAAGTTGAAATAAGATCTAGATTTCTGCCTTAAGAAAGGTAAATGTGATGCAGCCAACAAGTTGGGGTTTTGACACCAAATGACTGGAAGACTATATCATTGTGCGTAATGGTCCTCCATAACTAACCGAAACTGTGTAATGGACTATAAAGCCTTAAAAGTGACTTTTCCCCCTAAAGGAGGAAATCAGATGAAATTCCAAATGTCAAATATCAAGGAAGTAAATGGTTCTCTGTCCATAAGTCACAGTATTCTATTTCTAGATCTTTAGTTACCAATTTAGGTAAAAAGAGAGTACCCAAGACAGCTACTTACAAATATGGTTGCCGTATGTTCTACTAGCAGTTAAAATATTAAAGATACATAATCAACTTACCAATTGGTCGCTTAGTCATGCCCTGAGTAACTTGACCATTCCATGCAAAGTTTGCATCATTTTGAGGAACTCCTCCATAAGCTAACTGCTGAAAATTAGGAGCCCCTGAGTTTGGAATGCTACCATTGGAGTAAAGGGTGAGCTGGGGAGAAGTATAGGCCTGTGATGATGGAGTTTCTGAATAAGAACTAAGTGAAGTTGGAGTATCATTGCCATTGTTATTAACGCTTTGAGAGAACACATCTGAAAGAACTAGTGCATTCTGCTCAGTCACGGAGTCAGCGAGTGGTTCACCAACAGGAACAAGGGCTAGTGCATTTTCAGCAGCAGGATTGTCAAAGTCACCGCTAAGAAGGTCAACGCCACTAAGCAGCTGCTCAAGTGGAAGCTGATTGCTTGTGCTTGCACTTGACTGCAACCTAGAGAACACAGTACTATACAGTGAGGACCAAATCCAAAATAAATTTCCTTTTACACAAGGTAACAATAAATACAACATATTGCAATAAGAAAACATAAAATCACATGCCAACCAAAGGTTTCACTTTCTTGAGTCTAGTCTCTGATTTCAGACTATCAGCTAACTAGAAATTCAACCAGAAAGGCAAAGTTTATTGAACAAACTACATTATGCATGTTAAACCAGCTAAAGAATGTCAACTGGAATGAATAAACATGCATTCCTTAACGTTGTTCTCTATAACCATGACCTGAACTCATCTCGTCTTCAGGTGTGACTGTCAATAAATTGTAACTTCAGATGCCTAATTACATCAGAAATTAAAAATATTGAGGATGGCCTACCTTTCATCAGGTTCAATGTTACCATCAGAATTAGTAATCACAGGATCATCAATGTCTACCAGTGGCTGAAGAGACCATGGCTTCTCCACGGGATCAGGAATACCTACAGCAAGAGCATCATGTTTGGCTAGAACACACTCCAATTCATCATTTAGTGCAAGTCCTTGGTAAAGTAGATCTTCATCCCTGTAAGAATTTCAAATGGAAGAGAAAGGCTTAGGTTATGCTAAGTGTGACAAAAGCATATACCACATAGTTAAATTTACAACTCTGTATTTTTTGTCACCCGTCCTTTTCTCATCAAAGTGGAAGGAATCATCTATGGACAAGTCTCCTTGAAAACAATTTTCATGGAAAATTTTTGATGCTCTCAACCTAAAATCAATTTTCGCAAGTGGAGAAATAAGCCTAGAAGAAGAGGAAACATAAAACTAGGATAAATAGAAAAAATTTTTAGTACAAAGGGACCTTTTAGATAGTCAACACTCTGACTATTCACTAGGCTTACAGCTCACTCGTTGAGTTTCAGAGTTATAGTTCCATTCAACAAATTTTTTTTTACTAAAAGTATAATTTTTTTAAAAGTAGTCAATCAAACGGTAAAACCTATGACTAAGGGTTTTGGTGTCAGTGAGAGATAACAGTATGAGGCCTTACGAAGATGTGCTCACAAGATGTATCAATCTCTCCTTGTATGATCGACACTGGTAAGCAAGGTCATGAATGACTTCCTGCCTGACTTCCTGATATTAAGAATAAACACCATTCAGTATATGTAGAATGAAGTGAAATTTTTAACATAGAATTAACTGCATTTACAAGTAAATTATTGTGCTTGTTCATTTCTAACACAAGGGGAACTAACTACCCAAGAAACAGCTGTCTTAATCATACTGTTTAAATCAAATACTGGTTCAATGCCAAATTAGCATCTCAGCTTCCTAAGAAAATTTTCTTGATTTGGCATGCAAAATTCTCATTTACAACTTGCTATAAATTAAACAAGCTTTCATTCATAATGATCAGTCATTGATCATGAATTTAATTCTCCTGATGTATGCTAACCTAAACTAATATATAATTAATACTACTAAATTGCAGTACCTCATTGCTCCCAGGATCTAAAGTATTGAGCACTTCGGAAAGAACATCTGTGATAACTCGAGCATTCTGAATTTCTTTAAGGCTGGAGAAGTTAAAAGAAGCATAAGAACTTGCTGCAATAAGACACAAATGGAAACGATTGAATAAAATAGACAAAATATGTTCGTAAACCAAACAGCATAAAAAGACCAGAGTCCTGATAACATTCAAAGTTCAAGCAAAAAAATGTATGTTAAAATGGTACAATACAAAAAGTTGTTATTCTGCTTGAGTCATGTAAGTTATGCAACCTATATTTGTTTGTTTCCTTCTTTGCATATTATTTGATCTGTTTACTGATGATCATAGATTTTTCTAGTACTAGTATGAATCAAACATGCAGCTGCAATGCAAAATCTGGAATATAAATGTGTATGTGCCAACACTCAACAGCTATTATGTCAAGTATGTTTATAGTTTTAAACTAGTCAGTGAAAATTCCATTCACTGTAAAATCTTTTTGCAGATGGTGGAATAGAAGACGTTTCCTCTGCTCTTTGCAGATCTTAAAAAAACAAGGGTTTTGCTCTTTGAACCAACTATGCTTTAAGTTTTATAATCTGCCAGTGATACTTATTTTCATGGGAGCTAAAGTACTCATCTAGAATATGCTCTTCATAAGCAGATATACCCATTGACCAAATCATTTCTAGTAACATCTATTTGAATTATACAAAAGCACTGGAACAAGGGATCATTTTTACCTTATCTCATTCTCTAGCATCATTGAAGAACGAAGATGAACCGCGTTATTATCATAAAATACCAATTTTCTGAGAATGCTACAAAATTTAACTAGCACATAACCTGCAATCCCAAGATTTAAACAACATGTTTGTATTGCCCTTGACATACTTTTAAATTGTAAAGATTTCCCATAGATAACCACTTAACATCTGTCATCATGCTTTGTTTCCCGAACCTATGAATGACAGTAGGCACAGTGTTTAAGAAATTGTCCAACATGCTCGACATGTCAGCTGATATGTTGGGTTTGCCGCAATGAGAAAAGGTTTTTTTCACGTGCCTTTAATAACATTGGTCATTGTTTATGTTTTTAACGTTGGACAGATGGAATTAAGCAATAGACCTTAAAATAGGAAAATTAGAAACAGCAGATTTGGTAAGTGCTTCCTGTTGATAATCAGAATTTTGGGTGCATCGAGGATGGCATGGAAGAGAATTTTTCTGCCCAGGAGTAAATATAGGCGCAATTCCTTCGCGCTTCTTTGGGAAAACAGCTCCAGCACGCTGAGTGCATCAAAAGAAAACAAAAGGAGAAAAAACGTTAGCATTTCTCTTATAGGGAGAAAAAAATTTACTTATGACTTCGTAAATATGAAAGGATATTACAATTATTAAACATGAAGGGATATTACAGTTATATAAACATGCCTACAAACAGTAAGTTGTCGATTTTTACACACGTTTAATGATGTTGACCATTGTTAGCAATATGGAATTCATTTGAGTTACATAATAAGTATACTTTATGACCAACAGAATCAAAGCTCAAATTCTACTGGCAGGATCCTAGCCTTTGTGTATAATAAATATATTTTATGACCAATAGGACCGAAGCTCAAATTCCAGCTATGGGATCCTAGCCTTTGTATCTCTCTCTCTCTCCCTCTACCCATCTATATACACACATGCGTATATATACATTCATATGTATGCGTGTGACATACACACATGCGTATATATACATTCATATGTATGCGTGTGACATACACACATGGATATAAACACTATCCACACGAGTGCGTGCACACACACGCACGTGAAATGTAAATATGAAGATTTCAACTTTATGATGACAAATTTTATGAGAAAACCTGATTGATCATCTCAACATGTCCAAATCACTCTAAATATGGATCTTAAGTGCTTTACAAGTTCTTTCACCTTCATAAGAAGTTGCAAAAATTTAACATTATTTTATCCATAGAAGAAAAGTGATTGATGCAGTGTAACACAAACCTCTTGATCCACCTTAAACTATATATGCATATGTCTGTAGCTGAGCTTCCTCAACAGGAATGGAATTGAGTTCCATTTAATAAGTGCAATTCTCAAAATTTTATCTGCGACTCCTACTTAAATGTCAGAGAATGCCTTGAAGAAAGTATGAAAAATACCAATAACTCGTGATATGCTGCATAATATTGTGGATATCTTGCTTGTGGACCACCAAATGCTTCCTGCCAGGTGTCTATCAAAACCAGGATCTTCTCTTTGACATTGAAATCAGGCTGCAGGCAGAGAGAGCTGGGTAATGCAAGATTCCTATAGGATTAAACAATGAGAATTTTTCTGAAGATATAAAACATTACTTTCTTTTTCTCTTTCACTATTTTCGCCATTGCATGTGGAATGTCCCTTTCTGCTACATGCATATGAACTATGTCCCCACAATTTTTTATTATTGTCTCCAGCAGCTAAAATAATAGATGGAGCAACATGCCAGAATAAGTCAAATATACATCCGAAACATTCAAGCTCAGAAAAGGACCATGAAAATTAAAACCAACACCACAATAACATTATTATCAACAAAGGGTTCATCCTTATTTTTTTGGGTTCGGGTACATTATCCTTTTTCTTTGTGTGGAAGTTTAGATCTGCCAAACCAACCTTTTTAACTTGGCAATTACCATATTTGCTTTGCTGTCTTAACACTAGTCCTAGAGGCTCCTCGAAGTATGATGTGCTATCATTCTTCTCAATTAGAGCCACCAACTTCTGGTGCAAATATAAAAACATCTCTAACATTCCCAGCTAATCAATTTGAGCTACTCTAACTTCTCACGAACATGTCACTCCTTGTCCTATTTGTTTCACAGTTATGCCTGTCCATATCAATGTTCTCCTTTATTTTGAGCAAGTTTTCTAATTTCCTGACATTTGTTGAGAGAATAAGGGCCTTAGACAATTTCCCCCGTCTAGATCTACGGGACAAGGCCATTCATGTAGTTGTTAAAGAGTCCACTTCTACTACACAGGCTTTCAGTCACACAGTACAATGGACTCCAAATAACATTTTCCTCAACCTTACTATCATAATGTACAAAAAAAATTATTTTAAAAATATTTTATGACATTACCATATGCTAATTCAGTATAATAAATAGTACACTGGGCTTGCTCCCCCCTGACCTCAGATATAATCTTATGTAAAAATGCCCACTAGATGATCTGAAATAACAAAGGACATATGTGATAATCAGAACACGTTTTTGGAACTGCAATCATGGTAAGGGAACTTGTTGCTCTGGTTGAAACCTTAGTACTTCCATTAGGATTCCCTATGAAGCACAATCAACCATGGTGAGATAACTAAGAAAATATGGACACAGCACCACCGCAATCTGTTTGGTTACCAGCACCTCTATATCCAACATTAAGACGGATATCTAAGAGTCCTTGCTTAAGGAGTGGAAACCAAACTCATTAGGCAGAAGTTTTCAGTTCCCCCACTCTCTGTCAAGGTGAAAATACCCTTTCACATGTGCCAGTTGTGCTAAAAACGTGCACTATCCTCCAGCTCACATGCTTGATACAGAACCAGCACAATCAATTACTCAGCTCCCTCAAGGTTGATCTCCCTCTAATCAGAGACCCAACCTCATGGTCAAATAAACTGGGCTCAATCAGTGAACTTCACTTTTGGACGCTAAGCAAAAGGATAGCCATGTCATTGACAACTGGAACATATGAATCTGAAAGCATTTCCTATCACAAGTTTGCACAGTTCTATTTTCTCCAAACAGTACTTGAGCTCTTTAAGCAGTAATGATGGTAAACTAAAATAGCCTTCTGCATTTGCAGACAACTGAAGTTGCTTGCAAAATTTTCACCCTCATATATGAATACTGTAGTGTCATGGGAAATTATTTAATAGTGGATAAGTAGATAGCATATCATCCTAATACCTGATGGCATATAAACATTCTTTACACTCCCGCATTTTCTGTTAAGGTGAAAATGACAAGAGGAAGATTACAGGGTGAGGAAATGTTCATGGAAAACCCACTCCATGTAATCGTGAGTCATGAAAAGATCTTTTCTTAGCTGTATTCTCCTCTATTAAAGACGCTTAATGAGGCTTCACTACATTTTTTTCTTTGGAAAATAGATATATAAGAAAGAAAAAAAAACCCTACGAAAGTAACGGTAAGCTACCATAAGAAACGAATGGGATTAGTCTGGTTATGGCAACTTGTTATGTCATTTGGAAAGCACATGATGACTGTATTTTTAAATCAAACAGTCAGATCGAAGAAAATATTAGGAAGAGTGCATTACGTCTTATGGGGTTATGGCTTGGTCA